TCCTTAGGCCCCTTGGGAGAGGGAGGGAATTCTGGAGGTGGGGGATGAGCCCTTGAACAGGTCTGTACCTTAGGCCTTCAGGGGCTGGGATAGCTGTAATTCTTCTCCAGACTTAGCTTTCATCTTGACCTGTAGCCCTTCCTCATGGACCAGGCTCCCATGGGAGTCTCAGAATTGAAACAGGACACTGGGGAGTTGTCAGGATCAGCAACTAAAGGTTTTCTCCCGGAGTTAAGGTGGAGCTCACCAGCTGGCTGCCAGTGGAGTGAGTCTGGCCAGCCGGGGTGTGTGTGTGTGTGTTTCCTCATATAATATATTTTTTTAAAACTTAAGTGATTTAGTGTAAAATTGGGAGATTTCACCTTAAAACCAGGATTTCCAGCTTCTTAGAAAAGCCCCAGAATATCAGAAAATCTGGGTCCTGAATTCCTTTTTGTCAACAGGTACCTGAAACTAAATTGTGCCTTCAGGCAGAATATGTCTTCACTTGTTTGCTTCATCTTTCGGTCATTGGAGGTGCTTGGGTTGGAGAACCTCAGTTGACCTCATTAGTCTAATGCCTCCTGACATATTTGCCTTCAATCCATCAGCCGTTTAAGTGAGTACTGAGTGTGTGGTCAGTACCCGGTGCCCAGAGAGGTGCGAGTAGGAAGGTGGGGGGAGGGACAGGTGAGTATTGTGCCCCCTCCACCATGATAAATGGGCCCTGGGAACCTAGCTCCGGATTCAGTCTTCCCAAGTGTGTTCATCAGCCCTGGAGGCCACTCTGCAGACCCTCCAAGGACAGACAGTGCAGAGCTGTCGCAGTCTTTGAATCCATCCTTGAACAGATACAGGTCTGTATTTTCACCCTTTAACCAAATTGACCTTCCAGGGCCCTCTAGGATAAGACCTGGAGTTTGGAGCTAGACCAAAGTAAGAACTCTGGGTGCTGACTCTCCCTGATGTTTTTATTCCCAAACAGACCAACAGAGGTCTCATGGGAGCCATTGCATGGAGATGTCCAGCTTGGCAATGATCAGGTATCTGAAATCTCATCAAAATACCATTTTGCCACTCCAGAGCTGGTAAAATATTCTTGAATCTGGATGAGGTTTACTGGTATGAGCTGTGGCAATGACTCTGTCGTGGTATGAAATTGCTTGAGTCATAGCAGACTCTGCTGGCTGCTGCTCCTGTCTGGAGCACCTTACCATCTGTCTCCATTCAAAGACAGCCTGGAGCAGGGGGAGATGGGGGAAGACACAGACAGGAAATTCTTTTTACTTAATCTAACATCCGTTAGGCTGCAGCTTGAGCTCCCTTCCTCATTTTGCCTCCTGTGGATGCAAAAACAACTTTTCACAGCCCGGACCTGTCATGCATGCTCTGTGAGGTTACCTCCCAATGTTCCCTGACTCGGGCCATGGAATTCCTATCGTGTTGACTTTGGGTTCATCCTTTTTCTCTTTGGAGAAGCAGTTCATGGGACACATAGCTTTAAAGAGTGTACCCCGTGTCATCTTCATTAAATGAGAATACTGAAGACTCTTACAAAAGGGTTATAGACTTCATTTCCCTAGCAGAGAGGATGGTCTGTTCTAATTTTCTAAGAACACTTAAAAATCAATAAGCAAAGATGAACACCCTTTGTCGTGTTATGCTATGTTATGACGTGTTACGTCAAATTTCTGCTACCAGAAACCAATTTCACACTCCTTAGGTCTTCACTTCACATTTAAGGAATAAAGTCATGAGACCTACAAAACGATGGTCAGGAATAGAGCAAACTGTCATGTTTCTAGCACTAAGAATATCTTCTGCCAAGTAATCCAAGTTCATACACATTGGTCTGTGCCTGCCTGGAATGGTCCTCCTGCGGATGGAGGCTGGTTTGGTGAATTCATGCAGATCTAAGGCATTGGTGTGTGAGGGGTGGGCCTGAATGACCACACGCTTCCTTCCGTCTGACCTTCCCGTTCTTCTTTCCGAGCAAGGCAGGGATGCTGTTCACTGGGCAGCATCAGCAATGACATCAACTTTAAGTGTCAAAGTTGATGAGAACCCAGGGAATGAACATATCTCTTCATTAAGTCACTGGACTGTTTAACTGGCCCGAATTGTGTGTGTTAGGGAGTGGGGTGGGAGGAGGGGTTATGGTATATTGCTCTAAGACCTTTGGAGAACCTTAAATTCAAGACTGATTTTACAAGGAGATTGACCCGAAGGCTCCCTCTAGGGGATGATTTCAGGGTCCCCACTTTATGTTCAAAAACCACATTTATAGGTAACTCTCTAAGGCCTAAAATGTCACAAGTAAAAAGTTGTTCCTTTGGCTTGAGATTTTGTTAGAAAAATGCAAATATTGTTCACTTATTCCATTCCCGTCAGAGAGAGGGGATGAGGACAGGCAGCAGGATGGGCGGTGACTGCAGGTGGATGTGGGGTGACTCCCGAGGGGAAGAGGTGCCAGAAGGTGGGGTAGACGGTTGGCCTCACAGTTGGTTTTAGGATGCTGGTGGCTTACTAAATGCATTTTCTATGGGTATGGCCATTGGTCATTTATGAGCAGGGACAGATTCTGAGAGTCTGTGAGTTGTGGGAAGAGCCAGGCTTTGGAAGTGGACACAGCAGGGTTTGCATTTGGTTCCACCCCTGCTACAGCTGTGTGACTCTGGGCAGTTCTCCTAACCTCTCTGTTCCAGGCCTTGCTTTCTTCATCTGGAATATGGAGGGAGTAAATAGCACCTCCCAGGCTGTATGTGTGAAGAGGACCTCATGCGATGTAAGCCTGAGTGCTGAGCACCGTGGGCGGCAGGTGGTACACACTCAGTAGGCCCCCCTTTCCTGTCCACCGCTTTCTCCCGTTTTTATATGCTTTAGAGTTGTTTTATACCATATGGCCTCTTTCTTAGCGTGTACTTGCTGACACAGGCAGCTATCGGGCTGAGACCCAGTGATGGTACTTGACCATTGTTAAGAGAAGAACAAACAGACTCATGCACGGACACACTTGGAGACTGAAGGGTAAGTGGAAGGGAATGATGTCCGTTAGTTTATGGTGACCCAGGGGTATTTGCCTCTTGTCCTTTTTTACTTTCCTTATCTTATTGGAGCTCCTGCAGGTTTTGAATATCCCCCTTTCTGCGGGGCTGATGCAACCGTTAGAACGCGATTCTCATGTGAGTTGGAAATTATTCCGTGATGTGTCTGAGGACAGACGCACAGCAGGGAGCTTGCTTAGAAATTTCTTCTTTTCAGATATCAGTTGTGAACGTGTCATTTTCAGGCCTCGGCGGTTGAGCGCTGATTGAATCACTCACACCCAGCAGAAAATGTGATGGCGTTTGCGTTTCCCAAGTCTCACGTTTCAGACTGTCTGTCCAGGACTGAATTTCCTGAAGGGAGATTTGGAATTGAACTGTAAAGAAAAGTGTCAGTCATGCATTCATTCATTCATTTTCTTCCTTGGGAGAATCACCCAACCATAGCATCCCTTCCTGGTTTCGGAGACCTTGCTTGGCTTCCAGCAATCTTTTGGGTGGGGTGAAATCTCAGATTCCTGGAAGTGATTTCTGCAAACAAGGATTGCAACTCAAAATGGTCAAACACATGACAGAGAAGGAGGAGGGGGTTTTGTAGAGCTTTGGGAGAAATAAAGGACACTGAGGAATGGGAACCCCAGGTCTCTGGCAAAGAAATTCCTGTGCAGTTTCTTAGAAGCACAGAAGGGTCTATGAGAAACATGGCAGAGTGGCCATGATGGCTAATTTTAAATATCCAGACACTCACTAGTGTGCTGTCTTTCTCATCAATTCATCTCGGGTCAGAAGGACCCTCACCTCGGAAGCTGGGCAAGGAGTGCTTTGCGGGTTTTGGTCTGGGCCCATCTTCTGACGTCACGCTTTTGTCTCTAAAAAGGACATTCTTTTCCAAATGCTTTGAAAATTATTATATTGACACTCTGTTTTTTCATTCCTTGGATTCCTCTGGTGGGGTCACAGGAATTCTCTCTTTTTCTTATCACTTTACTCCTGAGGTGGTGGGGTCATTTTGGCAGGAATAAGTGATGTATTTTAGGATCAGCCATACTTACGTTCAGTATTTTCATTCAACGTTACAATCACATACTAACCAATCCATGTGTTATTACAAAACCCTCTCCTTTTCTTTCCTTCTATGAGAGTCCAAATTCATCTTTCTTAATGGTACTAAGTTTAAAGGTTTCTAAAGCCTTGCATCATTGAATAATCAGTTTCAGGTCCAGGTCGGCCCCCAAACTGTTGCATGGCTGTTTAACATGTATTTATATTATGTTGCCTTGCAATATTAGTTACTTCATGAGCTGAGAGATTTTGTTTGAAAAAATGTTATGTTTCATTTTGGTTATTTTGAAAGTCAAGAGTACTCTTTTGGCACTCATAATTGAAGCTAAAAGTGTAATTGTGCTTCTTAATAATTTGCCTTTCTTTTTCTGGGACAAAAGATGGAAATGTTTAAATTAGCTACGTGCAGTACTTTCTTTACCTCCTTTTTAAGGTGTGGATGATCTTGGTTTGCTTTGTGAAGTGAACGCTTCAGTTACCTCATTTTGTCTAGAATGGGTATTGTTCCTGATCATGAGAGTTTTATGTTATTCCTCTCAGAGCTGTTTTAAAGATTGTCCAGCTGTACCATGCAGGATATTAAGAATTTATTTAACGTACGAATGCTTCTGGAGAATATGTCAAATTACTATGTGTTAATCTTGCACTAGCAAGGCAACATAATCAAGCCGTAGAACACCTAGAGTTTATTTTGATTTGTTTCACTTCTGTTTTAAATTTGCCACCCACAGTTATCCGAAAGAAATACATAAAAGCTCATGGGTTTGGTATATGTGTTTTTCCTGTCATGTTGTAATGCTGTCCAAACATGACAGTACTCAATGTTTTTAGGAACAGACAGATTGAAAGTCATTTGCTCTTTTGCTAACAATATCAGAGAACATTGGGAAAAAAAAATTCGTTTTCCGAATCTGCCTGTTAGTTGATGGTTGCGCTGTTTGCATAGCTGACCACCCACTGAAGCCAAGGCACGTGAAACTGCTGTCCACTAAAATGGGCCTGAAAGTCACGTGGGACCCACCCAATGATGCTACCAGTAGACCCGTGGAGCATTACAACATTGCCTATGGGAAGTCACTGAAAAGTCTTAAATACATCAAGGTGAATGCGGAGACATACTCCTTCCTTATTGAGGATGTGGGTAAGTGAATCTCTGGTCTTGTTCCCAGTCAGAACTAACTGTACACCTATGTTCTCCTGCTATGCTCAGGGTGACTACTTATGAGACAAAACGTGGCCAGGCTTAGGGTACCAGCGGGTTCTTTGGGTAGCCAAAGTCAAGAGGCTGGTTAGCAACAGACTTCATCTTGCCCATGGGCTTCCCCATCCTGCATTTGAACTGAATCCCCTATTCCTGGATCTCTCTCCAAATTGATGTAGGAAACAATTTTTAGTTTCTGGATGTGTTTTTGGAAAACACGTTGATCCTCTTTTGTCTCACAGAGACTGGACTGCTGGACAAGTGTGCAGCCTAATCCTGAGATATCTAATTTATAAACCATTTTGTAATTAGGAGTGACTCTGGTCATATGTCCCTGTTGGCGTGTGTGATGTGTCCTGCTTAGCCACATCTGGTTCAAAGGTATAACATTTCTCCCCATTAAATATGATCCTGGAAGTTTGGGGTATTTAAAATTTTGCCTAAATATATTTCTTTAGAAGTGCAGGTACAGCTGGTTTTGAACTTAGGCTCTGAGCTGCCTCCTATGGACCCTCTATCTGCTGCTTTTTTGGTCCCAGTAGCCCAGAGCTCCACTGACTCTACAATCATCTCACGGTCCAACCTGAAGATGGTTGTTTCAATCGTTGCAGAGGAGAAAAACATGCAAAAAAAGACAGCCCTAGAACTCTCTGAAAAACAAATAGTGCCTCCCAAGCAACTTTCTGATGAGTTAACTGGACAGAAGCAGAGACACGTGGATTAAATTTCTTTGAAATATGAATAAGCTCAGAGCCAAGAAAGTGCCTAGCGAAGCATGATTTTGCTTTTTGTCTGAACCGAGAGCATTTCCCAGTTGGTCCGGCAGGTTGAGCCCAACCTTAGATGCCCCCAGGCCCAGATAGAAGTCAGAGCAGGCTAGGGCAGAGCCGGGGTCCCAGATGTGTTGCTATGCCTGGGCTCCTGGCTTGAGAACTGAAGTCTTATTAAAGGAAAGCCTCTCTGAGATATGCAATTATCATTATTGCCTTTGACAGAACTAACTCTTACCTCTCCAATCCTTCCTCCCCTCAAATGCCCATAAACTTTCATCTCTTCAAGGAATTGGCATCTTTGCTTACCTTTCACAAGACAGTGATTCATTTTGAGGAAAACCAGCCCTACTAGAGTTTTGCTTTTCAAAGCTGCGAGTTCAGAGTAGACTCACTTTCTAACGTGGCATCTTGGTTTCCATTCACATCCCAAAACTTCAGGAGCTCAGCCCAAGAGATCTTCGCTATTTGACCTTGACCCTTAGATGCAAGTCAAAAAGTGGAGCCCAATTATTTCGAGATTAGCATTTCCAAGATTCCGGGGGATGCTTTTCTAGATTTTTGTTGAAATAGTCAAAGAAAACATGCCCGCATAGTAAGGAAGATACTTCATTGTGAAAAGAAGATAACGTCATGAAGCTTTATTTACTGCAGTGAAGATTTCAAGTGTGCTAAGTTTTATGAACTACATTGAAATTTTCTTACTAGTTTTTGTAGGTTTCCATTTGGAGTTTCCATATTATTTGCAGTTACCAACACTAGGTTAAAACAACTTTTTAACGGACAGTGCGTGACTGTTTCCTACATTGATTTCACATTAAAAAGACTCAGCATCTTTTTTCATTGACTCATGAGTCCAGGTTTATTACCCATGTCATGTACTTTGTACTAAGTAGATTTTGTGTCAGGTGTATGTCAATTGCCTGCAAGGAATGTTAGTGATTTTGATTAAAGAAAAAAGAGAAAGCGATAGTTAGACTTGTCACTTAATTTGGATTTTTGTATTTGGTTATAACTGGTATAAGGAAGACAGTGAATTAAGCTGTCATTCTTGGAGATTTGAAACGGTGGCTTGATATAAACCGTGTGTTTCAGAGCCGGGGGTAGTGTACTTTGTGCTGGTTACTGCAGAGAACCGCAGTGGAGTGAGCCGTCCAGTTTACAGAGCTGAAAGCCAGCCCGGTAAGTCCGAACTAGAATTGGAGGATGTGTTTTTGTTACTTAGATTGGGAGAAATGTCCCTCCCTGCTTGTTTGGGTCAAGACTAATTTCGAATCGCTAACGAGTTCTCGGACAAGAACTGTTTAGATTTGTATAGTAAGCTGAAAGATTGAAAACCAGGAGCGCTTTATCCCTTCTTGTAAAGTAATTTTGATGTAGGTTATGAGCGTTTTGTCTTAAATTTTGGAGGACTCGCTAGAGTAAACCACGTATAAAAGATCAAAAATACGTGTTGTCCATGCAGTTTAGGTGCCTAGACTCTAACATGGCCTGAACAGATCTTTTTGAAGATTGTTGAGAAGACCGTTGAAATAGATGTTAGGGATGCTCTGAAATGTGGAAAATCCGATAGTCCTCCTTTCTAACTATCAAGTTGCATTTTCCTAATTTAGGAGGTGAATGGATCAAGATTGATGGTTTTCCCATTAAGGGTCCAGGACCATTTAATGAAACCGTCACAGGTACTATGTGCTCATTCGGTTCATGTCTTCACTGAAGCACCGTCTCGAAAGAGGGCTGTGCTTCTGTCACACACATGTGCTCACAAACCTTCATTTAGTGCCCATCGCTAAACTAACTCACCTGCCACACAGTTTTGGTCGATCTGCTCTGCACTTGATGGACCAGACTGCAGCCAGTGTCGCTCATTTCTCACCGCTCTTTCATGTTCTGGTGTGGGGACGTGTCTGTGTCTACATCTGGGGATGCTGTTGCACTGTTAACAGGCAAATATGGTGGTTGAGATGGCAGTCTTGGCCCAGTGAGGATATTTACAGCTCTTCTACCTGTGGATGCATAAATGAATGGGGCCACCAAACAGTGGCTTTTATTAGCTAATATGCTGCATCAAGGCTTCCTCTCTTTTCTTATCCATGGGATATTTTGGCGACATGTTAGATATCCTGCCTTCCATCTCTGCTCCATATTTGTATATACATATGTTTTACCATTTGGATGTTGATGTTGTCTGGTCATATTGTTTTATTTGTTGAGAGAAGTGTTGACATTTCTTGTGTGTTTCTTGAATACATTTAATTAATGGTTAAAAAAGAATGTAAACTATAAGCAGTTATTTCAGACTGTGGTTGGATAATATCCCAAAGGCAGTTTGATAAGAAGCGATGTCTTTAAATGCACCAATCTGGCACTATTGTTGAGAGGAAGGTGAGTATGCTGAAACCAATGACATAATCTGCTTCTCAGGTCACACTTGGTGGGTACAGGCAGTTTTCAAAGTCCTCTTTATAGGAAAAGGGAGTGGAAGAACAAAACAACGAGAAAAAGTGGATTTTGAGGAAAGATGCTATGTTCTTGTTCAAATATGTTGGACTTGGCGGGGATCTGGTAGAGATGTCTTATAGGTGATTGGAGGCGAGGGCATGAAAGTTGGAAGAGAGAAGCAAAAGGCAGATATGGATTTAGGAGCTGTGCTATACAGTGAGAGTTGAAGTAGGGAGAGTGATGAGTGGGTGAGAATTAGGAGAGACAAGAACAGAAGCCAAGGATGAAGCCTTGGAAGACATTGACAGGAGACGAGTTAAGAAGAAAGTACATCTAGAAAGTGTGCAAAGTAGGAAAGGAATTTGATTTCGGAGGTTGTCTATTCCTAAAGACACACATGTAAACACTCACAGACACACATAAACTTTTTGCTGACAGATGTACTGTGCCTTGTATTTGAATTCTTACACTTTGTATTCTCAATGACTATTTTACTTTTATAATCTTCCTGATAAAGCTTTCTGAATGACAGTTTTAGAACAAGTAATTTTCTTACTTTTTCCTAAGTAGTTAACTTATGTCTTCTTTAATAGAAATGTGTGTGTGTGTGTGTGTGTGTGTGTGTAACCTTTCTGAGTAAGCACATGTTACAGAGACACTGGGGACTGGGACTCACAGACAGTCATGCCCCAGCTCACTGTTGGTTTTCTGGATTGTGAGGTCCTTTACCTCTCCCTGCAGGAGCCTCTGTAGGCCCTAATTGCTGAAGACTTTAATACATGACACTATATTTGTCATACATTATGTTAAAAAAGTTACTGGAAGAAATTGCTAGCTGAAAATTTTTTTGCAGCATGTGATATAAAGCAGAACTTTAAAAAGTACTTATCTAGAATGCGTAGACTTGGTCACAGTGCTCCAGAAAAAGTTACATTTTATTGTTAATGAAAATAATAAAAATAATTTATGAGGAATTATTAACAAGTGATCAACATACTTCTATACCTTCTTTATGAGGCTTGGTAAATACTCTAGGCTGTTGTTCTGAGGAATGGCTAATATACGATAATCCTGTTAAACGCAAGAAATACTGTCCTGAATTCCAGGTATCTGCATTCAAAGGAAGGGATTTGTCCAGACATTAGCATCTGCACCCGGGGCTAGGCCCCAAGGGTTGGCGTTAGTGCTTTGATTGGCAATACCTGTGTTCTTCCCGGGTTTATTTGAAACTGGAGGAAAATCCATTCTTTTATTCTGCTGGAAACAGTGGTTTCAGTTCAAATTTCAGAAGGCCTCCTTTGCTGGCTGAAATCTGTCTTGAGCTCATTGTTTTTACTTAAAAATAAGACTTTAATTATTTATTTATTTGTTTGTTTATTTTTTGGTGGGGAGATGTAATTATGTTTATTTATTTATTTTTAGAGGAGGTACTGGGGATTGAACCCAGGACCTCGTGTGTGCTAAGCATGTGCTCTACCACTGAGCTCTACCCTCCCCAGGACTTTAATTATTTAATTAATTCATTCAGGGCCTGTGGTTTTCCAGGCACAGTTCTGAGTGTAAAGGTACAATAGTGAATGAGATAGACATGAGCTTGCCTTGTAATGAAGACTACATTCTAGTGGGAAAGAAAGACAATAAACACACAAGGAAAGATTAATACAGATAATCTGTACTTGTTTGTTCAGGCTCCCGTAACAAAGTACCACAGACTGGTTACTTCGAACAGTAGAAATTTTCTCACAGTTCCAGACACTAGAAGTTCAAGATTCAGGTGTCAGCAGGTTTGAGTTCTCCTGAGGTCTTTCTCTTTGGCTTGTCTCTCCTCTGTGGGCATCGTCTGTATCTTTGTGTGTCCAAATTTCCACTTCTTCTAAGGACACCAGTCAGATGGGATTAAGGGAACCTTAAGAACCTCATTTTAACTTAATTACCTCTTAACAGGCCCAATCTCCAAACATAGTCACTTTCTGAGGTAACTGGGGGTTAGATCTTCCACATGAAATTTTTTTATCGAGGGGACACAAAATTTAGCTTGTAACATAATCATAAATTACTTGGAAAACAAGCTGCACTGTGATACGGAGCAGGCAGGGTCGGGAGCCTGGGAAGTGTGGACAAGATGGCGGCACCAGGCCAAGACCATACGAGGGGGAGGAAGAGGGTGCCGGGGAGTCCTGGAGGTGGGCAGGACCTGAGCCATTCTCAGATGGGTCACTCATGCAAAAGTGAACACTCTTAGGAAATGGTAGGACTAAGCAAAAATCCAGCCCGAGGGCAGAAGTTTTGTCTTCCTCTTTGGGTAGCTCCTGGCTTATCTTTTTGTTAGAAAGTGTTCTGAATATTTAAATGTAAAATCTCTCCTGTTGAGATGTAAACCCATATCCCTTTGTTTTGTCGCAAGGGAAGATGTGTCACAAGTCCCTTCATATGGGACTCCTCTTACTTACCTTTCCTGCAGACCCACCTGAAGTGGTTTTAGCGTTTCTCTGGGACTGGACTTGGGTAATCGGGTCTGTGCAGAGCCAGGCACTGGAGGTCAGGATGAGGACTGGTCCAACTCTGTTTCCAGTCAGCCCAGGGACTTAGAAGGCAGCTAATCTGCGTTCAACAAGCTCTTCATCTGGGAAATTTTAGCTCTTAACAGGATCATCTGTATTTTTAATAATACGGTTTTCTAAAAATCTGTTCCTTTGTGCTTTCCTAAAGTGGTGGAGCCCAAATTAGACATAGTACTGAAACAAAAGTCTGATTTATGCTTTGTATTTTCTTTACATTAAATTTTAGTTCATGAAGCTTACTATTTTTCTGACAGTTAAATTGTTGCTCAGACTCAAGTTCAGCATAGAGTTCACACTTCTCCTTGGCCATTTTCAACCAATGCTGGCAAGATACCTGCGGTCCAGCCCTTCCCTTTCTTATCAGGGCCACCCCCCTGGCCCCCAGGTTGCTCCCTAAATCCAAATAGCTCGAGGGCGCTTGGTTCATGACGTGCCTCTTCACACCTGCGTCCCAGACTACGTCAATCTCGGTGATGATGCTCTGTGTGATAGTCTCACCTCATGGCTTCCGACTTGCCTCCCGTCACTAGGATAGAGTTGTTCCCCTCCAAAATCTAGAACCATGAAATGCCCCATCACCTCACTTCTTCAATGCCTTCATTCTCACAAGCTTGTTTCAGACCCAATCAGACTCAGTGTAGATAGTTTCCATTTTCAGAGTCCGGAGGTCATCTTCTGGTTCATTTCTTGCTTTTTTTTTTCTGGGTCCCAGCATTTCAGCCACACTCGTGTCAGCCCGGCTATGCCAGGGCCCCCCAGCTCTGTGGTTTTCCTTCCTGCGTGCTAATTACTGAGCCTCGTGGGACAAACAAAGAGCTAAGCTGTTCCGCACTGTCCCAGCTTCTTAGAGCTGGTTTTCTAGCCTCATCTGGGCTTTGCCTGGCCATGCTTCTATTTTCCATACTCAGTTTCCTTTCTTTCTCCCACAATGGCTAGTCCAAAAATTCACCACTTTCTTCAGGCTCCTTCCTCTGCCTGTCTTCCCCTCACGTCTAGCAGGCGACCTTGCTCCCTGCCACCTGGGGAAATGAAGGTCATCATGTGACATCCCTTGTCTTTCCTCCCGTGACTTCTAAGCCATCACGGCTCCCTTCCCCCGCCTTGGCTCTGAGGAAAGGGTGTCATCACCACTTCTCTTTAAGGCCGACTTCAGACACATAAAGCTTCTTTGCAAGCATGGTTAGACCCAAGGGCAGTTCTGTGGTGGGATTCATCTTTGGAGCCTCCCCTCCCCCACAGGACCTGGCTCAAAAGTTGACTTGAACGCATGTTAAATTATCTGACACGGAAATGGTGGAACTATGAAACCATGAAAACCAAAGCTTGCCATCCTTGCTTTCTTCCCTGGTACTCCTTTTATAGGAATTACCTGTGGACATAGGAGAAGGGGATGCCCCAAGCATGCACCTTGGCCTTTTCTATCAGTGGTTCATCAAAATGACCACCTACTTTAGGTGCATTTTCTTGCCAGTTTGTTTATCTGAATGTGACTGATGTGGAATTTGAAAGTTCTAACCCCATTGTCTTGAGATGGGCTTCTTCCCTAACCTCTTGACTTAAGAGCATAATTAACCCATCAAACTGTAGCGTCTCCACTGCTCACTTCAGCATCCCTGGCTCAGGCTCAGCCCCTCAGACTTCTCAGCTGTACAATAATGGGCTTCGCAGGAAGGCGCCAG